CATATTCAGCAGACAACGCAGAAGGAGACTAAATGTGGAGAAAAGCAGAATCTTAGTGCTTTCTGAAAAAAAACATCACAGAATCTAACGAGAATGTAAATCGCCTACAGTGTTAATCTCAGTCCCTCGTCTCCAAGACTGGAGCAAACATTGCCAGTTTTCTCAGCTAATATGGTTCTTTGCTTGAGTTCCCAAATTTTTCGCTTCTTCTCTCCCCCCCCCCCCTTCCCCCCCCCCCCTTCCAGTTGCCTGCTGCTCTGTTTTCAAAACTGTCTAATCTCGACGGGTGTTTATTTATCGATCTTCGACTGTTTACACAGGCTAGCGAACAGAGGCGCCAGAAGCTGATGGCCCAGGCACCTTGAGAGCTTACGCCCAGGGGCGTAGAAAAAGGGTGCCTGCCGCCCTGTGTGTCATCACTGACAGGAGGGCTGTGGTGGGGCAAAGGAGTGGGGGGGGGGGGGTTCAAAATGGCCAAAATGTGTGTTTTTAAAATAATGAATATGTGAGGGTAAAGAATAAAAGGGTAGGGTGGGGAACATCATTTTTTTTTTTCTGATTGAGCTACCACCTGTTTTTGCTACGCTTCAGCCCTTATGCCCCTAATCCCCCACCTCGATGTTTTCCTTGTGTCGACGTCCATGCTAGCGAATAAATGTTAGACATAATGCTTATACTGTAGAGGTGTCAAATCTGAGGGTACTGAAGCGGGCGATGTTTTTCAAATGTTGAAGCTGTTGATTGTGCTTTAAATATTTTTGAAGAAAATGTATGTTGTTGTTGCTGTTATTGTTGTTGTTGTTGTTGTTGATGATGTTGACACTTAATCATCCAAAGCGTTTTCAAAAGTTGTTTACTGGTATGTACATATGCGGTAAAGTAACATAATTGAGCTCTGTCATTGCAAGAGATGAACTGGATGTATGGTGGTGGCAATAGTTCTTGTACAAACCAATCGGCAGTTCATGCGTTATGTATTTAGTATCACACCGGTGGCTTTTGCTTTCCTTTAGAGACCATTTCCTGATACCAATATTATACTTGGTCGACCACGAGACGGAGGCCAGTTGTGTCT